CTTTGTTCCTGTTGTTATCACATCAATATCATGTGTTCTAAATAGAAATATTACTGCAAGATGATGAAAAAGAGAGGCAACAAGTAGAATAGAGCTCTCGAGAAGAAATGTTTGATTAGTTTATTTTCTTAAGTTGGTCCCGCATGTTATTTAGATCCAGCTTGCTCGAGGCATTGCCAAATTAATTTGTTTAAAGAATTGTTGACTAGGAATGTTCCTCATCAATGTTGAGCTTTAGACAAAAAGTTTGATATCGGCTAGAAGTTTGTTAAATATTCAATATAGGATTTAATCCTTCTTCACATGCTTTAGGAAGCCGTCAAAATGAAATTCTATTAGAAAATTGGTCTTTTTAACTATTATCTTTCAAACATATTTGTTGTTTTTAGTTTCCATCCATTGACAGAGTCTTGTGTCTAATGATTTAGTGGCCAAAAACATATTCTTTTTTCTTGTTGTAATATACTGTGGTACTTGAAATTGTTGTACATTTTCAACCTAATATATTGCCATGCATGAAAATTGGCATTGTAATTGTATTTGTTTTTTGGGTAATACTTAGTTATAACATGTGCACATTTATACCAGCCTCATATTTCATGTGTGTGCATATATTTTGCAGCCTTCTGATGTCAAATTGGGGACGATGATGGGTGTCTTTGTCCCATGCTTGCAAAACATTTTGGGAATCATTTACTATATCCGATTCACTTGGTAATTTATTGTGCAATTTTCAGTTTTTTCCTTTTACAAATGCTATCTGCAATTGACCTTATATGCTTAAATATATAGTTATTGTTTTTCCATAACAATCTGAATGTACTTATTGCACCTAGGGAAGCAATTCTTTCAGAATTGGTTAATTGGTTAACTTTAGATATTAGAGCAGAATTGCACAGGATTAACAGTTTTTTTTTTTTTGAAAAAAGTATAAGATTATATTACAATAAGCACCAATGGGGTGCAAAATCCATATACAAAAATATTTACAAATCTAACAGTTTATCGAAAAGGTTTCTGAAATCCTCTGTAGATTGTGGAGAATGACTCATTAAGAAAAAATAAAGGATCTGAAACCATCAATTCTTAAGAATATCATAACCGTCAC